AAGAAGTAGTCGCGATCCCCGCTGTCTGCATTTCTGTACCAGAACACAATGAGACGCCCCAGCCGTTCGATGAAGAAGGAAAAGACAGTCTGCTGCAGATCGACTCAGGGCGCTGTAGGCATCCCACCGTAACGGCCCCGGGAAGTTTGGAAGTGACACATCAAAAAAGTCCCTCAGCCGACCCAACAAGGGTCGGCGTAAATTCTCGGAAATCCAACGTATGTTCAAACACGCTTCTAACATCCGTAGTTCTCAATTGCCTTTATACAAACGCCCAAGGGCTTCTAAGCAAATTGGCAGAACTTCGATCTCGTCATAGCTCAATTTGTTGGGACCTCATCATGATTACTGAGACGTGGCTGAACGACATGATTAGTGACGCTGAGATCGAACTACCTGGCATGTCACTACTGCGTAACGATCGACCCACCAATGGCGGCGGTGTAATTCTCTACTACCGTTCAGACCTTCTCATCGAGCTCATGAACGACCCTGGGATTCAAACCGTAGACTCCTTATGGTGCTGCCTACACCTAAAGCACGGCGATAAATGCTTATTGGCCATCGTATATCGTCCACCAATGTCCACTTTAGAAATGGACAAGGCCCTGTCTTCTGCTTTGAAGAATTTACTGGAACGCTCATATAGTCATGTTTTGCTGGTAGGGGACTTCAATCTGCACGGCCTAGAAACCCCAGCCACCATGAGTGAACCATTCAAAGCCGATCTACAAGAGCTAATTGCAGGATCACCGCTGTACAACCATGTCACATCCCCAACGCGATTCAGGACAGGAAACAAACCGGCCATCTTGGACCTCGTTTTCACCAATGAGGAACTGATGATTGACGTAGTAACCACATCCACTCCCTTGGGCCGCAGCGATCATGCGACACTATTGTTCCAATACTTGTGTTATGCAGATTATCCTAATGAAAGCAAAGTGGAATCTTACGTCGTAACCAACTACGATAACCTGGCAGAACTCATTAGTGCTACGAGCTGGTCCTTCTTAACTGAGTGGTCCCCAGAAGTGGCATGCGGGAAATTTGTCAACAAATTTAACACGCTCGTAGCATTGGCATCTAAAACCAAAATCCCCCGACCCGACAAGGCGAAGTCGTTTCTCAGAAGCAGGACCCGGAAATGCATGGGATTGAGGGATCTGGCATGGCGTGCCCATATAGCCTCTCCGAGCGAGGATACTTGGAACACCTATATCACACACAGAAACCACTGTGTCACACTCGTCAGGGAGGATAAGGTAAAGAGCCAACAAGATCTTGTGTCAAAGATCTGCGTTAACCCAAAGCTACTATACAGACACATAAATAAGCTTCGCCGCGTTAAGCGCGGAATTCCGGCTCTGCGCACAGCTTTCGGATTAGCACATACGGCACAGGATGCGGCGAACGTCCTAGGACAACACTTCGGCCGCACTTTCCAGTGTGTGCAAACATCCTGCACCATATGTAGGCAACTTATTCCACCATCAGGCCTTAACCACATTTCCTTCACAACTGCAGCTGTATTGAAGCGGTTGATGTCGTTGCGCGAATTTAGCTCCCCAGGTGCGGACGGCATTCGGCCGAAAGCGCTGAAAGTCCAGTGGTTCGTACTGGAAGTCGTTGCGATAATATGGAACTACACACCAAACATACCGAGACTATCGTTTCGAAACAGTGACATTTCCAGAAAATCTAACTCGACATCCATTGCCTCTGAGCGGAACCTAAGCTCGGTTATGGAAATGTGGTCCCTACTGGTTGTTACCTGACTCAAACGCAGCTAAACGATTTGTCTGATAAAGTCTTAGGCGTTGATGAACCTGAAGTATAATGCTTCAGTTCTCGGCAGCGATCCGAAAAATCTGTGTTTCAGATGTGAGGTTGCACTGACCGTTGTATGGTCGACAGTTAGTCACTTTAATTGATATTATCTGTGAGTTCCTTAGTGTTGGAGTCGCCGGAATTGTGCTTAGCTCCTTAAGCAATCCGTGTTTTGCAATGTGTAAAGTGTGGCTACAGGATTGTATAAGAAAATCTTAACTATTTTCGCACCTGCTCTCACTGTGTGAATCGAAAAGGGTCCTAATTATATTTGACTACTAGAATGACGTTTTATATCTGGTGATAGTACCTTGTGCCTCGTTGAACCGGAGCTCGGTTGGGAGTCTGTTCCATACTGACAGTCAGCTTTCAGTATCTCGAGTGTTATCTTCCTAGCTTGAAGCACTATCTTCACTGTCCTTGGGTGGTACTCTTAGCAGCTTGCTGATCTGGGCGGCTTTAAGAGATAAACAGCTACAACATGGTCCAACATTAGGGTTTTACGGATGTAGCCTTACTGCTGCTGATCCCGGGCCCCTAATATGCACTCATCATGCTTATGGAAATAGTGACACCGTGGACAAAATCGTTATGGTCACGATTTCTAGGTGGAACCATTCTAAGCTCTGCTTCACTCGCTTGTGTTCGTTCTACGGAATGCCTTAAAAGACCTCAATCAAACGGAATCCGCTCAGGAGATGGTCTGTTGAAATTAGAACAGTCTCCACCATATCGATACAGATTAGCACACCACAAAGAAGCCTGACTTCAGCAAATCGCATGGAATTCGAGTGACGGGTGCTGTTCGTCAGATTGCTCCACTTAGTCGGAACACCCATTAGGGTCTTGCCTTTCATTGGATTTGATGTTGACGTTGGAAAGTTGGTATAATATGGATAGAGCGTCCATGCGTTTCTAAATGTTTTCAACGGAGTATGGGTCATGGTTTAAAGATTTAACAGTCTGTTACGTACCAGTGCCGTACTGCGTTTCACATTAATCCTGTATGCGGCAACGGAAATTACAGGTTCTGTTTTTTGAGTGTTTTCTGATGCAACTGTTGTCCGGCTGCCACTGATATTGGCATGTTTTCTGAGTTTCGGTGAAACTTAGTAAAAGCAAATGGATTTGTAGGAACCTGTCACTATGTGTTAGCGGAGACCATTTCGGAAACGGCTGGTGGCTCCGTGTTGTGACGACCCGCCTGCGCATTGTGTTTGCAGGTGCCTTTGTGTTAGTGGAACAACCGGCTTTGGGGATTCAGCTTGCTGTGTAGTTCATTTGAGGGGCCTGGGTTATTTATTCCACTACGGTTATTTCTGAGAAAGTTTAACCTTTGGTCAAGCATTTCTGGCAGCTTTTCATACTTCAGGGCCAGAAGAGCCAAGCTTGAACTATTAGTATAATATTAGGTATCACACGAAGCCAACATGAATCAGGTCTGCGGGTGGATTTCGTAATTTCGCTTGCATTCATGTTAATGCATTCGGTAGGGAAATAGGTGGAACGACTAGAACAAGGAATTCCTATTTTTACTGATTTTTGCACCTCCCACAGGCGTCTGTAGGTCTGGGGGTTCGGCTACTCGCACCCATGTGGCCACGTGGACTTGGTATTGCTGATTCATTCACTCCTGACCACTAGTATGTGGTCAGATTTTTGTTCGCCGCCAAAGCCATTTTACCGTACATTCTCGCGCACCTTGCTGAATTCGGTGTGCACTCTTCTCCGGTTTATGCGGACACATACAGAAGTGATCGGCTTACGTAAAACGGCGGAACCAACAAGGCGACGATTAACAATGGCTTCACAGCCATGTTTATTGGAGAGCAGAAGTAAAATATCCAGTAGAGATTTAATTCTGTATCCTAAAGTCGCTTTCGCTGGATCCATTGAGAACCGTCCGCTTTTAAGTACGGATAAGTCTTAAATCATTCCCAAACCGCGTGTATTATGATTGGGATCATGGCTGCCGCAAAGGTGATTTACTTTGCACACCGCAACGCTAACTACTAGTACCTAGAAAAACCGTCTAGATATAGTCGGGCTTTGAAGTACCCTTTGTGTTTCTTCGATTGCGACAAGCTATCTCAATGGTGGCATCGGATGTCTTTGAAGCCAACCTACGCCATTCCAATCAAGGGGACAGTGTCTGAGCTAATTGGAGTTTCAGTATTGCAACCTCCCATTATTGTACTCCACGACCGACGGTTTCATTCTAGTTTAGACTAGTCAGATAGAGGTAGCATGAAATGGATGGGGAACTCAGCACATAGTGGTTAGCAGCTATCGACATAATCATTAGATCATTGAGCTCCGCGGGTACAGCTTGACACAGCGGTTAATAGTTGATAGTCACGGTTTGAAGTAGCCCCTTTTTTCGTGGATTGCGACACTCAATCTTAATGGTGTATCCGGTTGACTCTGAAGTTAGCTTATGCCATTACGATCATTAGAAAAGCACATGACCGAAGTGGAGGGTTTCAGCGTTGTTCTCTTCCACCTATCTCCAATCTCTAGCAGCTGAGTCTAAACCAGGAGAAAACTATCAGTCGTGAAGTGCAGACATGGAAGAGAACAACCCCAAAGCTCTCACTTTGGTCAGAAGGGTTCCCAGTGATAGAAATAGCACAAGCTGACCCTAAAGTCAACTGGGGACACAACTGAGGTTGCACATCGTACTTCAAAATCTGACTACCAACTCTTACTCGCTGTGTCATGCTTTGCTCGCGGAACTCAATGGCCTAATGAGTACGGTAGCGACCGGTAACGAAGTTGTGCCTAATTCCACACCCAATTCAGGCTAGCTGTAAATGTCGGACCGAAAGTGGGACGAGATATCCGATTGTGAAGTGCAGAGATGGAGAAAGCAACACCGAAACCATCCAGATACACTAGGGGCACATCAGCTTGGCACATATTCCTGTACGCTTGCCTGACCATCAAGTTTCACACATGTCTGAGTATGTATAGAGGCTAGTTCACTGAGTACAATTTGCTCAGTAACTCATTCAAATAGCAGCGGGTCTTGGCACTCTGGTTTTCTGGCTTGGCAAGGTAACATCGTGTGACAGTACGTTGATGGCATAATGCGTAAACCTTTTTATAGCCAAGCGTTGAGGCGCTGATTTCTTTTGAATGTGAGCACATTTCGTTGCTTGATTATCGCGTTAACTATTATATGATTTGTACAGCAAAGTATACCATGGGGATCCAACGCACTTACATTGTTGTTTGGTAAACTCCCCAAGAACGCGACCACCTTGATTCCTGTTGTTCTCCGCTAGCACTTCAAGTACCGCGGTAAGTCCAGCAAAAAACGGGACTAGAGTTACTTCGCTTTCATGCATAGAAGTGTCACCGAAACTGACCACCAACCGACCTCGGTCTGGATGGCCAAATATCCGTCTGAAGACACATTCTTTGACTTGTATTGAAGTAGATGCTAGAAAACTCAATGTACCGGACAGCTGAAAGGAGAATTGTGAAGTTGGTCAGTGGGGCAATAGAAAGAGCGGTTGAAAGTATCACCAATTTAGACATTAGTCGCTATGGATGTGGAAACGTCCAAAACAAATGGTCTTTGCTGTTTTAAAATAGGTTACACACTTTGATTCCTCGGTCTGTGATTCGAATTAACCCTCCTTACTGTAGGTGCTTTGCGTTGCTCAAAATGTAAAAGCGGAAGCAGCTGGAGACGTTCACTTTACGCTTTAACCTTCTACCAATCGCTATTAACAAGGCGGTCATGTAAAATTGAAATCTAATGCGTACATTAACCTAAACCATGTAAATCTAAATGATCACGTTTCGAAAATTAAACTAAGCAAATAATGCACTGCCAAAGCCTCCAGCGTCGTAGCTGGAGCTTGTTGTCAGATACTGAAAGTGTGTTTTCAAGTTCTTGAAGAAATGAAGTTGAAAATGTCTCAACCCAATTGGATAGCGTATGGCCAATCAAAATAATCCATGAGGAGGAAAATGAATTCTTGGTGCCATGTTTAAGTTTCTTCAGGATGGTTGTGTAGGTCATCATTATAATGATGTGCTAAGTTGGCAGGCACTGAGATTGCCTGTAGCTGAATGCGTGGATGCAGCTGTTGGGTTGTGCCTTGGTTGGGTTTTGGCCATTATTTCTAGCCGTATCCAAAACTAGCAGCAAAATAAAAGAAATCCATTACGGAATGATCGAGCTGCTCAGGATTTATTTAATTAATAAATAAATAAAGCTTTTATTCTCAACTGGTTGAGGCATGCCGTTACAGGCAAGATCATTTTGACATAACAATGCTTGATCAAGAATGGGCGAAAATCTGATATGTTTGCCATAAGAGTGTATTTTTGTGTAGCGGGGTATGTAAGTATGTATTGTGTGTGTATGTAGCTGTGTAGTTTGTGCTTGTAGTTGTGCTACTCAATTCTTGATGGTTTGATGTCGTCAGCAATGTGCGAGTAGAAGGTTGGTATCCCTGGGTTAGAAAGGATTATCTGGATATCCACGGTACAGTGACTTTAGTTTGTAGCGAGTCACGACCGGCAAGTCACAGTGTTGTTAAGCAGACATTTGTGGCTTTTTATAGGGAGAACGCTTGCCATGCGGTAACCCACTAACCACTGGAAAACTGCAGGCCGAACTATTTGCTGGAACGGGTTAAACCCGAACCACCCAGCTAGCACCACGAATAGGCTGTTCGGCTAACTAACGCTTCATGTAGAACTACAGCGTCAACAAGTTGCAAAACTTCACGTTTTGACTGTCAGACTTGGAATGCGGCTGTGTATAGTACTTGTAATCGGAATGCCTGTCACCAAATATGCATAGCAATAAGGGAATTAAGCTAAGCGGTATCTCTAGATTGCGACCGCGCAATATTTCACCAGCTTCTGCAATTGTGCAGTTTTGTCATTCTGAACTCGGGATCCACATTTCACGACGGTTCAGTGCCGTCCTAGAGCATTCAGCTTCTCTCTGCTCTAGTACATCGTACGGATTTGCTCTCGGGCTCACCATCACACACACGCGCCAACATGCATCCGATTAGGCTTAGCCAACGCTATTTAGTGTAAGCTATTATTTCGATCTAACTGCGGCGAATCTTGTACTACCTTCCCATTGTTGTTTATTTACCTGCCCCCAGAAATACGTACGCGAAATTTTCTAGATCTTAAGCTGCATGCTTAATGTTGGGGTAGCAAACTTAAGCGAAATTCAATAGCAATGAGCTTTAAACCAATGCTATTGGAGGCTAAGTAAAGAAGCCATCGAACGTTTGTGTCCTTTGCTACTCCATGGATTTGTTTAACTCTCAGCGACTTATGAATAACCCAGTGTTTCAGACGCCTCCAAGAACACTGTGACAGGACTCTGTGCAGGGAGGTGTTGACATCGAGCCTTCTACTTCAGCTTGTGGCAGACAGCCAGACAGCTACGTGTGTTTAGCTTGAGGCACAGTCGAGCGCTCAGCAGCTGACCTAATAGACATCGCTTGTGAAACACACCACAAGATGGACTGCAACTACCGAGCAAATGAAGACTAGACTAATACCTCCAGAAATGAAGAGTATCTACACGCTAACTTAAATAAGTAAATAAATAAGTTCTTTATTCTCGTGCAAGTCGAGACACGTCTATGCAGGCATGATCATGCCAGAAAATGTACGAACAGGAATCCATTGTTACGATTGACTTAGCAATTTTCGGCCTTTAGGGTGCCTAGCTCATAGTAAAAGTGGTGAAGTAGTACAATGGCAGACCAGGTTTACTGTGGTTTCTTTACAGTATGTGTGGTTATCTAAATGGTCAAAATGGTACGTTACCTATTGCAAAAATACGAAAGATGGGGCGCAAAGATCTAACAAATTTGAACACCAAAATCGCTTGGGTAGCAAATGACATAAAAGCGAACGAGTCCCAGTCCATCTCAATCGACCTAACTTAAGGTTTGATGAAGGAGGCTAGGTACAACGCACAGTGGTGCTTTACAAATAGTTTTGTAATGCAAGTAACGTGTCGCAACCAAACGTAAGCCAAATACACCCGGACAAACCACCGGCATCTCAAATGCAATAAGTACGACCAAGGCCTGAGGAACCCTCCAAACTGTTTCGAAATGTTAGAAGGGCTTTAACAACATTGTTGGCTGGAAGGTGGCTGATACCACTGGTGCCCGAAAACTCAGGTATTTAATTAACCACAATGGATCCATAGTAAATAAAACAGGTGGACCTGTACCTACACCTCGACTCAATCTGCACAAACTTTCAATAAGAAACCATACGGTGTACAGTCATTAGACCGCAAGGAGTGTTTTTGATTCGACGTCAAATATTTTAAGTAGAAGCAGCTAGAGGACGTGGGTCAGTGGAACTTTATAAGTGGCATCCTAACCGTTGTGGTTCGGCCCGTCAGTTTGATGCGGGTCATCCGTCTACCAGACGGAAGGCACCACTGTGAACAAATTCATCGCCGAGTAGTATTGGTTATGGCGATGAAGTAGAAGCGGTTCTGCCGTTGATTTCTAGTCTATGGAATGGGGTTTGTTTTATTCGTATGTTCGCGGAGATTCCTTATTTAGCAAAGGTATAAAGGATACGGTCCGCGGAGCGTAGAAGTAGCACTCCAATCTAGTCAGCTATCATTAGAGGGAGTGGAAGGTTGGTACGTACATCATAGCCGACTGCCTGATAAGCTTCAGCTCAAAGCGCTGTCTCCTCAGTAAACGCCCGAAAGAAGCAGTGTAATTTAACCACTTATTGAGAGCGGTTCAGATCACAATGATCATCTAGCAGATCAGACCGATAGACAAACCCAACACGTAACATAAAAGGAGATGTATAAGCACGCAATGGCGGTATCACTGGTTCTGACACGAATTAACTTGCTACTGCACCACCCGAAAAGATCGGTTACAAATTTCACCCGTCGGCAAAGCAACACACACAAAACACACGTGCCCTGGCTCATTACTGAAATCCGAGAAAAGTTGTCTTTTTTACATTTATTCACAAGGTTTCCTAAACAGGCTTGCTTGTCTTGGCCCAACTAAATCATCATATGACTGCGGCCTGAGATTCGTAACGAAAGCTTACTTGCAATCGGAACTTACCGATGGGGAAGACGCGATACATGGTATCTTCTACTTCGAAACGACTACCTCAGCTAGGGCAAGGTACTTTTATACTACTGTGGCGATCTGCAGTACAAATCGGTGGACGATTAGGAAATGATGATCATAGACTCACTCTGATGCACTCTGCGAATATGACACAACGGCACTTGCTTTGCGGTAGTTGTTTATCGTCCCCAATTATCTACCCCAGAGGTAGACTACAATCTTATATTAGCTTTGGGGTGGATGTTGCAAACACAATACAGCTACCTCTCCTTTTCAGGTCACTTCAGTGTTCAAGATCTAGAAGTTTCGATATGTCCCAGTGAGCACTTCCACGCCGACCAGTAAGTTTGTTGCAGGCATTCCGCTCTTTAACCATGTCAGTACATTAAACGGATTCAGGATAGGAAACATATTATCAGTACATGATTAATACTCAAGAACGATGAGCTCATGATCGATCAATTAAAAATACGAAGGTCGCCTAGACTGTGGGACACTTCCGTATGATTTACGACTATGTGTATTATTCTGAGTATCCACAGGAATACACTGAGTTGTTTCGTACATTCACACATTACAACATATGAATAGAACTGGTTGGAAAGTCCGTCTTGGAGCTTCTGCGTAAATGTTCCATTACTAGTACTTAGTCGCAGTTTGTTGGCACTTTCACTGAGCTGAACATATTCGCATCGGAACACCGGCTCCTTCGTTTGCAGCTGCATCATAATTCGTCCGAAGCAGAAGTCGAAAACGTAAGGCGGTACGTGAAGCAGTACGGGGTGCGTACACAGCTAACCATAGTCATGACAGCTGGAGAAACCATCTGGTGCAGGGTAATCACTAGACCACACTTGTCTGTGAGGACAAATTAGTGCACCAACAGCGGCCAGCTGAAAGGCTTCATGCTAACTAGATGCCACCATTCAAACAAGTACACAGGCACCGGAAAATGAAGTGTAGTGTTCCACCACTCATCTAAACAAACCGATATGCTCAAACCGACAAGCTTGCAGCCAATGTTCTGCGACTTCAATATACTCCTATGTTCCAATGCGTCATCGGTATGTGGCACATACCTGTCCCATTCCTTCAGACGTCAGCATTTACACACCTCACTTTTAGTTCATTGACTGTTTCGAATAAGTTGCTATCGCTTCTGATCTACAGTTCCCGCAGTCGACAACGTTCACCTGATTTAACTGCAGGTGACAGCTGCTAGGCCAGCAGAGCAATTATCGTGACTCTTTCAAAGGTGCTTGGATAAACAACAAGTTCCGAAAGTACGAAAAATGGTTATAATTACCTCGATTTTAAAGTGTGGAAGTTGTCCAAGCTCTCTCAACTAAAGCCCG